CGACAGAATGACCCGTTTCCGCCAATATACTCTTAAATAAATCCATAAACCGTACTCTATTTGCCTCTCTCTGCTCCTTTCCTTCAGTCGGTTCGGTCGGTATCACCGCAGCCAGGGAATTGTACGCCTTTATGGCTTGGGGTGTCGTCATTTGCAGTCGACCGAGAAGAAGGGCAATAAGGCTGATGGTTTCCCGAAATCAGAAAGAGAAGAGACTGGACATTATCCAAACGTACCCGCCATGGCCACTACCAACGATCAAGTCGAACCAATCACAGGCCCGGACGTCCTCTTCTAACTCGAGATCAAACTTTAGTCGCTGGAGCATCTCATCGATGATGTAAAGAGCTGAGAGTGGGTTGAAGCCGCCATCTGAACCAAAGAATGGATTGGTCGTCTCGCAAGCAAAGGTGTAGTATGACCCGTACCTATGGAAAGATAATTTCCACCTCTACCAGCTTCAGAAGCCATATTATTTTTAGATGAACTGATTTCTTTTCTCTTTTGGATGGAAAAGTCGAGTAGGGGCGTGGTTCAAGAAGTTGGTGTCGGCTCGGTGTGCGCCCACCGTCCCGAAGAGGAGCTAGGGCTCACTCAATTCCGACCTTTCGCTATAGGACCTGGTGCCTGGCAATTTTCACTAATGATTATCCTTACAATCGGTATTTAGAGGCGTATGACGAGAAGAACAAGGTGATACATGCGCCCTCGGGTTTTACCGCTTTAGGTCAACCTGAAATCGAGTCAGGATTCGTGATCAGCGGACAATCTTACATGATCATCGACTAATCACACTTATAAGAAACAATTGAGGAGTCAGATTGATTACATAGCACAATTATATATCTAAAAATCGAGAGAGGGCAGCGTGGTTTACGTAAAAGACTGGCGAGGAAGTCCCCAACTAGGGTGCATAGTGAAATATGATACGTAGCCAATCCAGAGTACGATGCTTAATATCCGAATTCTACTCGAATGAATCATCGGCGGACCATAGGCTCCGTTCCTCCACTCTTGTAGAACGTCGCAAGGTGAGTTCCGCAGTTACTGCATGAGTGTTCGACGTCTTTGAGGTCATCAAGCAAGTATGGGATACATCCGAGGCAAAAGAAGAAGCAAGCAACAGCCGCCCACAAACTGACAAGGAATGTCAGTCTCGCATAGGAAAGCAAAAAAAAAGCAACTCACTGGTTACTCGAACCAACGACCTTCCTCGTGCTAGTGAGACCACGCGTACCGCACACAGGGCAATCTACCGGCGCCGAACTACGATTGAGCGCAGGGATTGGTGTCGCCGTCAAAGGCGCTCCAGGCTGCTGAGGCATAAACTGGGGAACACCGGGAGCTTGCTGGTATCCTGGTGGCATTCCTTGTTGAGGATGAAACTGTGGGTTCATCCCAGGTTGCGCCGTCCATTGCGGGTGCTGGCCTGGAGGTGGTACTCCCGCGCTGGCATATTGAGGAACACCAGAATAGGCCATCGGTGGATTGCCCGCTGGGTTCATAGCAGGATCCACATAGGAGATCTTCATATCTTGGGTGGGAACGGGGTTGCTCATGGTGGCTGGGTGGATCAGGGAGAGAAGAAAAAGTTTGTGAGTGCGAGTCAGATTGGACTGGGCTTTTTATAGGGTCGAGATAGATGGTGCTGGCAGCGGGTTGCCCTGAGCAATCGCGGTGACATTTCAATGGGAAGCCGACTCGTAGATGCCAGCATTATCATTCGGCAGCGGATTGGTGGTTTTATAAAACAACTAGCAATTTGACCGTATATGGACAGCTTCTTACGCCAATGCGCTATTCCGCCTGGATCCCAGTGCGGCAGGATTGCACATCAACTCAGGAACACGCCCAATCACTAAAGGTTCAAAATGTCTCAAGATACAAATGGAATCTAGTCAAGTAAAAATAGAGGAGAACTACGCCATTAATGAGCCACGGAGCAGGCCAGTCGCAAGCGCTTAGAGGTTTGGTAGGGCCAGTCACGACACGCATTGATGACTTGTTGTTACCCAAAACAAGGTCAAATGGCGGGTAGGCATAGATAGTTTTTGACCGGAAATACCGCTAGTTTCTGGGGGTAGATAGGGGCACTATTTTCCTTACACTCCATTCAATTATCAGATATTTTGGGAGAAATACCGCCTAAATACCTAATATCCTCTCCTAGAAAAACTGCCAGTAACCCCACTGAATATCACTTATGCCGACCCGCTATTCTATCCACTTTTCACTACCAACAAGTTCTCCATACGCGCCGTGAGTCCCACTATTCCATTTGGAATGCTCCGAGTGATAGAACGTCGTCTCTGGACCCCCTAAAAAGCTCATATTAAGAATAATATCGCTGAGATACTCCGCTAAACTAACATTCCTGCCAGTCGTGTAGACTTCTGCTAGAATGTCAGTGGTCACCACGAGCGGTTAAGCCCAGACGCAGGTAGCAAGGGCAATTGCTCTAGAGTCCACATTTCAGGGCTCTTCGTTTCTGCTATATGCCGGACGGATATGAATCATATTGTGACATGAATGTGAACATCGGTACCTATCACGCATGGAACAGAAAGGGAAGAAATACAAAGGTTCGATTCTCGGATACTCATTGAAATTCGATCTTTCCACGCCATCTCTCTCGCTTATTTCGCATTCATTCCATGGAACACCACAAATAGGTGTTAATGCACAGTCTCTCTATCCGCTTCTCTTTAATCTGAATTTGGTTGGAAGGCAGTCATTTTTCCATTCTCGATATCTTTCTTCTCGTCTAGTATCTGTTTCGGGGAGTTTGCGTTAGAATATTGGCCCTCGAATAAAAGGAGCTCCCATGCGTTTGCCTGTGTGAAATGGTCGGGGATAGGTATACGAAATATCACCTTACCTGTTGAGCTTTCTCAAATTGCCCCAAGTGCTTGTAGATCTCGGCGAGATTCTCCATAGAAATCAGGGTATCCGGATGCTCGGCCCCAAAAATGTTCTTGTATGACGCCGTTGCTTCTTCATTTAACCGTAGGGCTCTGTCATAATCTTCCAACCCGATATAATCCATAGCCATGTCTAGCATTGAGGCCAGAGTAGACAAATCTTCCGGTCCTAGAATTCTTTTGGATAGTTCCAATGTCTCTTCATCCAGGTCCCGTGCCTTTTCGTACTCTCCTGTATCTCTGTAGTTTGATGATAAGATACTCATCGAAACTAGGGTCTCTGGATGTTCCAATCCCAACGCTCTTTTCCTCAATAGTAGAGTCTCTTCATTCAACACTCTAGATTTCTGGTGCTCCCCAAGATTTTTGTAGTCGAAAGCCAAATTGATCATTGAGACTAATGTGTCCTGATGCTCTGGCCCCTGAGTCGTCTTATGTAGCGCCAAAATATTTTCGTTCAGGTCCCGAGACCTCTCATGTTCCTCTAGGTTCCTGTAGCACGTTGCTAGATCCTTCATGGAATCTATAGTATCTATATGTAATGGTCCCAACACTCTCTTTCGGATTGATAACACCTCTTCTGCCATGTCTCGAGCTTTCTCATACTGCCCCAATGATCCATAGTAAACAATCACTTTAGACATCCAAAGCAAAGTGTCCAGATTTTCTGGCCCTAATAGTCGTTTGCATAATGCCATTCCCTCTTCATTCAACTCGAGAGCTTTCTCATAGTCCCCTAATAACGTGTAGTCCACAGATAGATTGCCCAATGGGCGCAGCACATCTAGGGTTTCCGGTCCTAGTAATCTTCTAGATATTTCCAGTATCTGTTCATCTAAATCTCGTGCCTTTTTATAACCTTCCAGGTCCCTGTAGTCCGAAGCTAGAGTATTCATCGAACTTAGCGTCTCTGGATGTTCCAGGCCCAACACTCTCTGTTTCAATGGGAGCAGATGTTCACCTAATTCTCGAGATTTCTCGTAATTCCCGAGATTCTGATAGTCAAAAATAAGAGCGCTCATTGAGGCTAGTGTATCTGGGTGTTCGGCTCCCAATAACTTCGTACGCAGCTCTAAAGTCTGTTCGTCCAACTCTCGGGCCTTTTCGTGCTCTTCCAAATCACTATACCTCAAAGCCAGGTCATTCATGGATTCTAGAACTTCTGGATGCTCCAAGCCCAACATCTCCCTGCGAGTTGCCAATATCTCTTCCGTCAGATTACGAGCTCTCTCATACTGTCCCAATTGCTTGCAGTTATGAGCTACATTGTTCTTCCAGTATAGAGTATCAGGATGCTCCAGTCCCAATCTGCTCCCGCATAGTGACATTGCTGCTTCATTCAGCTCGAGAACCTTCTCATATTTCTCTAGCCCAATATAATCAGTCGCCAATTTAGCGATAGATCTCAGAGTATAAGAATCTTCTGGCCCAAATACCTTCCTAGAAATCTCTAATATCTTTTCATCTAAATCTCGAGATTTCTCATAGTCGCCTAGATGCCTGTAGTCCGAAGCTAAATGGCTCATAGACTCCAATGTATCTTGGTGCTCCTGTCCTAATACCCTTGTGCGCAATGCTACAGCTCGTTCATCCAACTCTCGGGCCTTTTCATATTCTCCCAAATCCCTGTGGCCCGAGGCCAAATCATTAATCGAAACCATAGTCTCTGGGTTCTCTGGGCCTAATACCCTCGTACGGATAGCTAGTATCTCTTCCATCAAGCTGCGAGCTTTCTCGTACTCTTCCATGTATTTATAATTATAAACTACGTTTCTCATCCACAGATAGATTGCCCAATGGGCGCAGCACATCTAGGGTTTCCGGTCCTAGTAATCTTCTAGATATTTCCAGTAT